GGCGGGTCCCCCCCCCCCCCCCCCCCCGTGCCCCCGCTACGTATCGCCTATGGTGTATGGGGGTACATGAAAGAAGCATGTGTGTTCATGAAAGTGGTGCGTGCGTGGACATGAAGGAGGTGTGTGTGTGTGTGTAGTGAAAAGCCTGTGCGCACATGAAAGCAGTGTGTGCATGAAAGTGGTGCATGTGTGACTGCATGAAAGGATCGTGTGTGTACATGAAAATGGCATGTGCGTGCACATAAAAGGAGCGTGTTTGTTGATGGAAATGGTGTAGTGTACATGGAAGTGGTGTGTGTGGGTACATGAAAGAAGCATGTGTGTTCATGAGCAGAGTCTCCCTATGTCCCAAGAAGGGTACCGGTGCAAAGACCTTTGTTCCAACTACTCAGTTGGTCTAATAAAAAATAGTAAATCTACTCAAAGAACCTGGCCTGAAAGTGGTGTATGTACACACATACATGTGTATGCACATACATACACACACACATCCCAATGTGTACACACACACACACACACACACAAGACACCCGCAATGTTTATGTACATATGTATGTTTGTGCATGTGTGTGAATACATGCCCACTTGTGCATGTGTGCGCATGTGCACCCATCTACACATGGGCACACACACATCCATATACTCTACACACAGGCGCATGCAAACACGTATGAATGCACATAGATTGTGCGGCTAGACGATCTGTTCAGGTCCCTCCTGACCCTAGCTACTATGAAACTATAGGCATGTGTGCACACACACACATTGGGCTGTATGTGTGTGTGTCTAATGTGTGTGAGTGCGTGCATGCATAGGTCGGTGTGTCAGTGGGGGTCCAGGTGTGTCCGTGTGCAAAACGAAAAGCCTGCGTGGGCATAAAAGCGTACAGGGAAAGCACGTCTTCACTACTGTGAGTACGAGACAGGAGTGTGCGCGCGTGCATGGCAGTGGGGCGCTTGCAATGGAAAGCCTGTGCGTGCAAGGAAAGCAGCGTGTGCGTGCACGGAACTGGTGTGTGCATGCGCATGGAAGAGGCGGGCGGGTGCGGCGAGGAGCCTGCGCGGACACGCGCGCCGCGGGCGGTACACGCGAGCCTG